GACATACTGTTTTTCTCTCTTCGAAAAACTCATCAAACAGCTTTTTGCACTCCTCCTCATTGTATAGATTCGCCGGCAAGCTAACAGCTTTTCCCTTCGCTAAAGCATTCAGCTCCTTGACCGCTTTGTCGCACGCAGGGACATCACGGCCGGTGATATAAACAGTAGCACCGTTGGTGACGAACCCCTCAGATATCATACGGCCAACACCTTTCGCACCACCAGTAATGAGGATAATTTTGCCCTATATTTACATGTTTTTAGCATGGAGCTCAGATTGCCGCTACGATCCGAGCTGAGGCGCAAATTCAGGCTTACCTTGACATCGAAGAGATTTGAGGAATCCATTGTTGGGGGCCCTGTCAGAATATGTCGATAGTACAGAATCACCTTCTATGTTGCTTGGAAGAAAGTGAAAGTGAACTGCATAGCCAGAGTAAACAGCAAAGCCGAAGCTCATCCTTGACAGAACGGTTTGCCGACTTCATAGGGGAGAAAAGCCGAGGCTGTCGGACTCGGTGAAAACTTAATCCGATGAGATTTTCACAAAGAGCTAATGCCTTGTTTAAGTTGGAACTCAGGAACCAAATTGGCCTTGTTATACCAGTAACTATCCTATTGACAGTGCCTGGAGTCATCGCAGATAATTCTATACCTCCCAAGCTGCATCCATACCTGCTCGAGGCTCCGTTATTCGAGATGGAGGAATTGCAAGCTAGACATCGGAAAGAATTGAAGGATTTGCAGGGACGCATTACTCAAAAGAAGAAGTCTGCTACGAAGAAGACACGCAAGGGCATTAATGATGAGTGCGAGCGTCTCCAACGAGAAATGCTTGACAAGCAACGTGCTGAGATATCTGCCCTCCTTGGTGAAGCGGAGCCACCAACCGATGACCGTGACAACCTCGACCTGGAAAATGGTGCGGGGCACTCAATACAACCAACAACAGACGATGACATAAGCTTGGTTCACTCAACCTCTCATATTTACAGCTCCGATGCTCAGATCACATCACCTGATATACCAAAGGAGACCCCTAAGAAGAAACCAAATCGTCAAAAAGCACGTCTGGCGCGGCGCGCAGCTGAACAAGAGGCCGAAGCTGCGAGAGTTGCAAAGGAGGCGGCCCATCAGACTGATCATCGGGGCAACGAGAGGAGGAACATGGATGCAGCTTTTTCTCGTCTTGGGCTAAAAGAGGAGGAAATCCGTCCCGACGGACATTGTCTCTACGCAGCTGTTGCTACTCAACTTGTGAACAATGGTATTCCCTTAAGCGCGACGCCTCCAACTACTGGGCTTACAGATCCCAAGTCGGGTGGCGCAGCTGCATATCATATAGTTAGGGATGTGACAGCTAGTCATATCACGAACCACGCAGACGATTTTGCACCTTTTGTCGAAGAACCTTTACCTGAGTACGTCCGCAAAATAAGAGCCACTGCAGAATGGGGAGGGCATCTTGAACTACAGGCCATTGCTCGAGCATACAATGTTCATGTCAATGTTGTCCAAGGAGATGGACGAATTGAGAAATTCGAACCCCAAAATAGCAACGAGGAGGACGTCAAGACGATATGGCTCGCCTACTATAGACATACTTACGGGTTGGGAGAACATTACAACGCCTTAACAAAAGCTTCTTGAGAAGCAATATGTCTAATTTGAAATTATATACAAGGGAATTGTTTCGAATATCGTCATTAAATGAACGACGATATTTTCTCAACCTCCACCCGTCCCTTTTCAGAATCAACTGCGGTGACGCCAAATTGCTACCCAGTCCTGGACATTCCCGTTATCATCTTTACCAACTTCATGTGTCCTCTCTGGTTGCCAATGGGCGACGCGCTCCAGTCCATTAGGGCTCACTTCTTTCAGCGGATCCATTATAATATGGCCGTTCTCATATGGAATCTCCTCCCCTGGATGGCTGAGATGTTCCATGTAAGCTGCGGGAGGAGATGCAAATGGAGGACCGCCTGTGGTTGGGTCTTTCGCGGTAGGAAACTCTAGACAGATGAGGTTTCCGCGCGGTGATGGTGCTAGTAATTGGGTCATTCGGGCGGCCCATTGTGGGCGAAGAAGCGGGTTCAATGCGCAGAAGAACTAAAGTACAATGGGGACAATATCATTTCCGATATGTTAGACAGGGTTTCGTATCAAATCCAAACTTCCGGTGCCCTAACATGTACTTGTAGTAAACACAAACTCCTAAAAAATGGTGCTAGCAGATCATCGCACAAAGACAAGCTTACAGTATAATCATATATAAGATCAAACCCTCCCTCTCCAACCCCAATCGACTTCAACCAGTCATTGTTGAAAAAGTCCCCTTGGACAAAGGTAACTTTCCCCTTCCCTATGCGATCGTCCCGAACCGGAATATTATCCGCAACTCTAGCAGCATTCCGACAACAAATGTCCACAGCGGTATCGCTGTATTCCAACCCATACGCATCGTATCCAAACTCTGCTAGCAGAAAAACATCGAATCCCCGCCCACACCCGGGAACAAGCGCCTTTTTCCTCTTGTTGCCACTCCTGTTTGTTGTCTCATTGTCATCTTGAAGCGCTGTTCCCAGGAATCCGCCGCGCTGGACAAGGGTGTCTTCTAGTGCGGGGTTATGTTCCCCACGATCCCATGGAGTGGTCTCATTCTTCCACAGCTCATCCCACCCTTCAACCTGCTTTTCCAGTGGGAATTTGGAGAAATGATCGCTTAATTTGGGTTGGTAAACTGATGGTTTCGACGTGGTGCACATTCTGCGGTGGTAGATGGCAGGGGGGATGGCGAGTTATCAGCTCCGGAGCTCGTAGCAAAAAGTGGTAGTGGTGAGCGAGAACAGTAGATGTTTTCGGGACAAAGAAAACGGCTCATTCTTTAGTATGGCTCGGCTCCAACCGGACTAATAAGCTATTCTAGTTGGGTCTGTTTGCTTTGGTATGGTTTGATAAAAGCTGGTAGCTAGCTCCTCTGAGTATAGCTTGGAGAGTTTGGGGATGCCCCAAACTCAATCTAAGCTTCTCTAACTTCTAATCGGGAAATTGGCAGGATGGGATCTGACGAACCATAATGTGAATGTGTTAATATTAGTGACTATTTATTCTTGCTTCCTTTCTCTCCCCTCTTTCCCAGCTATCTCAACTGGTCTCAGATGGCTTTGTTGTGGCATCCGCAATAGCTAAGATTGACGTCTTTCAGCGGAACTCCCTGATCAGCAGTATTGCTGCTGTCAGCTTCATTTCCCTTGGGAGAAATCGTGAGCAAGTAGTTGCTATCATCAGCTTCACGCGGATGAGCCCGCCTCCTCTTAACAACTTATAATGATGATTACTTTCAGTGAGTGATTTCTGTACAGAATATCACTGAGTTCTATCAATTGTCAGAATCATCATATCATGGAGGGATGCCCTTCAATGCTTATCCGAGCTTACTCCTTCACAGTGTTGAACATTATCAACGATCTGAACCTCCAACCATCGTCATATTTCATCCCATCACTGTGATATGAGGATGGCTGGAATGTCACGATCAATCAGACCCGACTCAAGTACTCCGAGTCATATTCCTTATCCTTGCCGTCTGGGGCATGGATGTATCTCCACACAAACCTCAGCCGTTTCCCCTCTTACATAAGGTATCGCGGTGTGCAAAAAGCCTTTATTGCGCAACCTTGCCGTCATATATCTTTGGCTGCGCAGTGTGTTTGACATATTTACGTCAATACAAGTCTGCTACCCCTATATTATTTTGACCTGTTCTGTCCTGCGCGTTGGGTTGAAATCCCCTGGAATCCATCAAAAATTGAAACGATTCAATGGCTTTGTCTGAATCAAGTCAAGAAGACAGTCGCATGCCTGCCCCGGAATACGAAACAGCAGTAGCAGGACATCATTATGGATCAGCTGATCAGGGGAAATGGCATAAGTGAACAGGTAGTAACAAGGACGGACGACATGGGGAGATGCCAAGCTATCAATGTCTAAGTTTTGTTCTCGAGAGGGACAGACGACCCAATTCATATTCTGCCGCTGTGATCGTTCCTAGAAATAAACGTCGAAGGTTTGCCGGGACATCTCGCGCTGCTTCCTGAAGCTGAGGAGCCTCAAAAGTATCCTCGTAAAGCAAAATGGCTGATCGCGTTGGTAATTGCGATTGCAGCTGTGGTTGCACCTTTCAGCAGCGCGGTATTCTTCCGTTAGTGTTCATTCCCCTAAGCCGACTTTATATACAGTACATGTTTTGACACCCCATCTCTTTCTCAGCTGCCCTCGGGGAAGTCGGATCATCCCTTGACGCAGCTCCCACAGTTACTAACCTTTCCGTCGCGCTATACATGTTGAGTATGGGAACATTCCTGCTATGGTGGTCCGCGTTCAGCGAAACTTTCTGTCTCCGTTAGATATATCTCATATCGTTCACTCTTTTTAACGTTTTCTCTATCCTTTCCGCCATCGCAACTTCTATAGAAATGCTTATTATGCTGCAGCTGCTGAGTGGAGGAGCAGCAACTTCGGTCCAGGCGATTGGGGCTGGAACAGTTGCAAACATCTGGGATCCATGAGAAAGAGGCAAAGCAATGGGCACATTTTTCCTGGGGCCGTTGTGTGGCCCCCTGCTGGCTCCAATAATTGGAGGGGCAATTGCGTACGCTTGGGGCTGGAGGAGCACTCAATGGTTTTTGACTATTTACGGAGGAGTGTCACCATTAATTCTCCGCTTTAGGATTCGAGAGACGTTGGCTTCGAGAAAAAAAAGCCAGTCGCGGAGATTCATAATAGGTAGTTTGAACAATACTCCCTTGATGATTGTATACCAACCACTTTTCAGTCTTGAATCCACACCAGACTGGCTGCTAAATATAAACAATCGTGGTAGGAAGCGATCTAACCCCAGGAGGCAATGAGTTAGCGCAGTTATCATCATATTGGAGTGAGAGGTTTCAGCCCAAAAATATTGCAACTGTTATAAAACCTGGCCGAAATACTAAGAACTTCTGCCATCAACCATGAACTGAATATTATCTCCCCCCAACCCTTAGATAGAAAAGAAAAGAAATGGCAAGAGTTCTACCCGGAAGCGTTCTTACACACTGCAGGCATTTTCAGCAGGCTTCGGTGGTCGAGTCAGCTAATAGGAAGACCCTACAATGGAATTCCGTAACAGCCAGGGTTGGGGAAACGGGAGTACGCCTTAAAGGGGACGTGCAACAATGATTGTAGGGAACATCCCGATAGCTCTTGCGAATACAAAGTAAGAGCCCATGCAGGGTTTGTCCAACTTGCATGCTATTCCCCCTTTTCCCCATTATCGATGCCATCGATTTGTTATGATAGGCTGGAGAGGAGGGGGGTGAATGAGACCTGACAACGAATTCGCGATATGTAACGATGGGTGATCGGACCATAGGTATGGAATTATGCTGCATTTTGGATATTCATTATTAACCTGCGATTTGGCGTAACGCAATTTCTTGCGCCCACCTCACGCTAAAGCGGACTTTCCGTAATGGGATTTCTGGGGATGCATTACAATTTTTGATACGGGGGAATCATAGTCTCCAATCATGCCTCAGGCAGTGAAATATCACCAGGGAAAGATAATTCACCGAAAATTCTGTCAGAACGGGGAAAGAGGATGTAACAACAGCGTTGCCATCACACCAATGGTGGGGCAAGTTTCAATTAGCTCACTGTCTTGATAAAGAAATATCATTTCGTTATTGAGAGATGAAGTTAATGAAAGAAAATGCGGTAGGGAAAGATGAGATAGTGAACAGTGGATAAGTTATTTTTAATACTACAAATTTGCCTGCATTGCAGGCTCCAATACCAGGAGTGGGAGCTCGCTTCTATGGTTAATGTTTGATAAAATGACAATAACCGCAGGCCAAAGGTTCCACAGAATAGACAGGATAAATATTAATCCGTCCAGCCTCATTGTTTGCTTGGCCAATACATTCCAGAGTGTGGCAGCTAGAGGATACACACAATGAAGGACAATGATGATCATAACCCAGTGATACTAGTATTCAAACTTTCCGCACGAAGAGTGGCATAGAAGACAACAAATATCATTTGCCACGTTGATTAAATCGTTTCTTGTACTGGTGAGGCGGACAGGAGCCTGGTCGCACTAAGCAAAGCTGTACGAGGCCAAGTCAGGAAATCTTCGCCGGCCCTGGAAAACCCGACATGCAGACTGTTTTACTGAGTTATCGAGCATGGCGCTATGTGGGCTCATGGTATGAGAGAATCTCCAGGGTCGCTGTTTCTTATGTTGTGCTCTTGTAGTGTCCGTTTCCAATCGAGCGATGGGTTGAAGGTAATTCGTAAGGTATGCTTTCAGCAGTCATGGTCTATTTCCTGATGTTTGGATGAGGGTTATTTAGAGAGCTATGTATGCGAAGTAATGGGGGATGGGGGCGGATTTGAAAACGATGGACGTCTGTTTCAGAAACGGCTATAGCGGAAGATGGCGTCCGCATCGTTTCGTGACTCCATATTTCGTGACTCCATAAATTCCTTGGGATGGACACTGGACACTTTGGGCGGTATACTTGTCTGAAAAATTTATGCAAATGGCATCCGTGGGTACGCAGGTTTTTTCAGTTGAGCCCTACCCACGTTGGCTCATTGCCAATTGGAAGGGGGATTGATTGTTCATGGGTAACTGCTGAGCTGGAACTTGCTGGCACACGTAGGTCCGTGGGTTGTTACGCCCAACTTTCGATATCTTGTCTTGTTGTCTGTCGCCTTGGGCAGCCCTAGGTTGGAGGTGGCTGGAAAGTGTGAATTGTTATGACAGAAATGATAAAGCCCTAGATGTGAAAAGTATCCCGTTTCGAGCGAGGCGGAGATAACCGGTTTAAGCTGGTTTAAACTGGTACAGCCTTAATCATAAATAACCAGAAGATATTATGATTCTAAAGACCTTGCTTGACATAAGGTTTGCTGGGAACATCATCTTGAAATTGTAAAGGCCTAGGCCCAGCCATGGTTTATTCCAACATAATGATGGAGGCTCTGTGCTACAGATTTCAAATTGATCTGTATCTAATAATTTGAATCCTGTCTTCTCTGCGCAGATTAGCCGCAGTGTTCCTAGGGCGTATCCGATTCTAAGAGCCCAAGGCAGGAATTATTTATTTATAGAAAGGGGAATGGGCAACCGTTGATTTCTCCCACTGTAATCTCTGAGTGGCAAACTGTATCGAAAAGAAAATCCGCCAAAGCATGTATTCGAATGGGGTCTCAATGTCCACTGAAAAAGATGAAGCAGAGTAACGTAATCTATCACCTAGTTTCTTGGACAAATCACCAATCACCTACTTGGACACTTCCCCACTTTAAGATGTAATCAAAATGTCAACAATAAAAGAAAGATATTAATCAGAAGAGAAGATTCGAGTCAATGATTTGGATTTTCTATTTTAAAATCCTTTAAAAGAAATTCAGTAATATAAAATTAACTCAAAGTGAAAATACAATTACACAATTAAAACTCTGAATCTGATAATAAAATTTATATAGATAGATATAACTAGCTCATTTTATTTAATAGATTAGTATATTCTTTTTAAATGAAAAATTATTTGATAGTATTGAAAATATGATCTGAAAGTAATAGATTTTTTTTATATAGAAGATTAAAAACAGAGGTTTGAGAGAATAGAATATGATGGATGGGGAAGTGTCTGGGTAGGTGATTTGTCTGTCTGATGTTTTTTGATACGTTGACTGTTTACCTGCCTCAGCCTGCAGCTTTGCTCCCAAGATCAGGCCCCAAACTGCAGCCACGGGGCATCCAATCGCGAGTGGCGCCAAGGAATGCTGGCCAATCGGGGGTCCAGGTCACGGGGTCCAGGCTTGGACCCCTTTCCGAGGATGGATATTTCACCTTCCGTTCAACCACTCGAAACCTCTCCTGTTCGTTTGGAACCTCCACTTTCTCGGAATGTGAAGGCCTTTAGGCCGGGGGTTTGACGGGCTGAGATGGCTAACCTCGCCCCGCCACCCTCGATTTGATGCTTTGATCGTGCTGCATCATTCGCTTTGCAGATTGACGATCGCGTTGCTCCAGCAATACCCCCGCACTGGATCAATAGTCCAGAAGCATCCAGGAACCGCTCCGCTCACGTACGCCAGACTTCCCCGCCAGGCTTATGTGGAAAGCCGTCAGTGGGAATACTGCATCATTTTTCATGAGTGGTTATGGTGTGATGTGTGCAGGCCGTCAGCATACACAGTCATCTTAGGGCTAAACGACTGAGATCAATCCAATTACGGCCCAGTGGAAAGCTGCACCCCCATCCGCCCTGCAATCACCGGAGCCAATTGCCGGAAACGTTGGGCAGAAACCTCAGGTCATCCCAGGCAAGGAAATTACCATGTCACTCGTGAGGCATCGCCCTCCCTGGGATATGCGCTCTGCTTGATGCTTGTGGGTTAAATTAATCCATTTACTAGGCGAAATATTTCCGCCCATGTTTAAATTAATTTCATGACTCTCATTGGAAGATGTTGATGTCGTTATTGCCTGATATTTTTTCCTCAAGACGTGTTTTGTCTTGATTATTATTATTATTTTTTTTTTTTTTTTTTTTTCATTTCTAGGTTTTTGTGTCTTTTGTTCTCCATATATTTTTGGGCCTCTATTTTAAGTCGCCAGTGCTTACAACATCTGCATGATGTCGGCTGTCGGGCTTGCATCGTCAACCCACTCTAGTGTGGTTGGTACATGCCCGTGAATTTATCAGTTCCTTGTCGTATTGTGGGAGGTGGGCGAACGTCACATATCATGTCTGCGAATTGGTCTATGAATTTGCCTTCCACCCAGCTGGTTGCGGATGTGTTTTTACAGGGCTTCCACTACGGTTTCCAGGAGAAGATACCCCCTGCGTCATCTGCAACTGCAGTTAAACATGTGCTCCGTTGCATTTCTGTTTCCTATTACATCGCCCCTTTGCTGTTCCTCGCCAGTCCATCCTCTCATATCTTAATCTTATGTGGCCCTCGACTGTGTCACTCTTTTTGACGACTCATTTGCTTTTCTCACCCCTCACCTTGCTACACTTTATTAAGTCAACAGATTCCCCCGCCAGCGCCCAGATCCTTTACGTTTTCTGATATATCATTCGTCGGCTAAATATGGCAAAGAAAAAGAATAATAAGAAGAAAAACAACATCCCTCCTCTTAGCGTCATAAGGCCGTCTGACATCGATATTAATTCACCTGGAGACGGTGCTTCCCCGTCGGCTATACCTGTACAAGATGTCGAAGCCTCCGTTGTTGTATGCAAAGCTCCCTCAATTTAAATATCAAACATTCGACCTTGAAACTCTCAAGTTCTCAGACGTGCCAGTCATTCCTATTTATGAGAATGTTGGAACAGTCGGCGATGATAAGGTCAATGCTGACATTGAGTCGAACAAGGATAAGGGTCCAGATGATCCATCAGTGACTGACCCGAGTGAACCTGTACCCGAACTCTCGAATGGTACGTGCATTATACCTCCATCACATCTTCGAATCTCCCTACCTATTTTCCTTTTTCTTTTGTTATTATTTTCCTTTTCGTTTGTGCGGTCATAATTTATGATGTACCTTTGGTTTCACACTTACGTTTTGTCTTAAAAAGCCTCGTTGTGCACTCAAAATTAATGTTTGATATGTAAAGATGCCACTGGAGAAAACCAACCTCCATTTGAAATGGTATCCATCGGAAACCCAACTGACGCTATTCCAGATGTTGCAGAGGAGGAGGGGGAAGTGAAGGAAGAGATGGAGAAACCAGAAGAGGAAGCGAGTGAGGAGACATTCAGTCAAGATGGAACGGAGGGAAAAAATGAGGAGCCTTCAACCGAGGATGGGGAAGGTTGCAAACAAGATCAAATTGAACAGGGGGAGACGGAAATGGAGGTAGTCGCGAGTGAGGATGCCACTCCTCCAGCAGATGAAGTTCCAGAAAATGTCGAGCCCGAAGTGTCTGAACCCGGAGAGAGTCAGGAACCAGATACTCTGACCGAAACGCCTCCAGATAACCTGGAGGCTTGTGACAATGAAGGTGATATAAACTTTGATTCTGTAGGAAGTGCAATGCTGACCAGTGTGCAAGAGCTACGATTTCCAGATGTTGACCCCGAAGCCGAGGTTGCCCGGGTGAAAGCAGAGAAGGAGGCTGAGGCGGAGCTGTATCACGATGGCGATTACCATGATGAGAACATCGCATTGAGCCACTGTCCTGACAACACAAGCGAGCCTGTAAATGAAATCTACAAAGAGGATGAAACAATTGCCAATGAGCCTGATTCACCTGACGCGGAGGCATCCAAGTTGGATGATTACGTCCAAGCCGATGAAAAGGATGCTGAAGCTCTTGAAGGGGAAAGTCCCACTGAAGTTGTATCTCCAGAGCTAGAGGCACAAGATAAACTTGAAGAATCTCCTGCGGAAGAGCAAGTTGTGGAAGAGCAAGATGCGGAGGAACTGCCCCCTGCAGAACCACCTACAGAAACGCTGCCCGAAGAATCTCCTACTAAAGAGCTAGCCGAAGATCAGCCATTTGAAGACAGCCCAGCAGAGGGACCAACTGCTAACGATCCCGTGGATGTTCCGGCTTCCGTAGAAGAGCCCAAGGATGATGGTCATGGCGATGAAGAATCTACACTCTCAGAAGAAACGCCAACCGAACGTGCACCAGCCGAGACAACATGTCTTGCGGAAGAAGAGTCAACCGGGGATCCGATTACAGAAGAACTAACTGTGGAAGATATAACAGAAGAAAATCCTGTCCTCGAAGAACCAGCTCCGGAGGGACCCCTTGAAGACGTTCCTGTTGTTGATCCGCCTGCCGAAGAGCCCTCCGTCGAAGGGGCCGACGCTGAAGATCCCCCTCATGAGGACCCTGCCCCTGAAGAACCGATTTTAGAAAATCCACCTACACAAGAATTAATTGTGGAGGAGCCAGTTGCGGAAGAGCCCGCACAAGTGGAAGATACTCTAGTCCCAGAGGCCTCGCCAGAGCAGCCAATTCCAGAGTTAAATGTTAGTGAAGAGTCTCCTCTCCCGGAAACATCTGTCCCTGATCAAATTCCGGTTGAGGACATTCCACCAGATCAGCCGACTGCTGATAGATCAATTGATGAAATTGGCAATGATAACGTTCATGAAAATGTCATAATCGATTCTCCAGCAGGAGAATCAGCAGAGGGCGCTGCATCATTGAAAACAAGACGGAGAAAACGACGGCATCGCTCGCAATGGGAGCATGGGAGGCGAGAGTCCAAGAGCTCTTCTGACAGTTATGCTCTTCACCGTCAAGAACGCGAACGAGCTGCTTTTGCAAATCCAAAGTGGGAAGTACTTGGCGAAGTGAAGAAACAGAGATCACCAAGGAGAAGTTCCGACGAGGAGAGAGCTGAACGACACAGAAGGGCCAATCGCAGGCATAGTGAAGGACGAGCTAGGAGGGACAGCGCGGCAAAGGATTCGTTTGATACAAGTCGCCATTCAGGTTCTTCTCAAAGTAGAAGGGAATCTACCCCGTTTAGCTTGTCAACCATAACCTCCAAACCAGTCACACTACTGAAGCTTATGGCCAGTGGAGAGTCCGAAACCAACGGGCCCTTACTCAAGCTTAATGTAACCGAACAATACGAGAGAAGGCTATCTACTTCCCGTCCATCAGATTCTTCAAGCAGCTCCAGACCCCATTCCAATTCTCGTCACAAACATCGGCATCATGGCGAGAAGGAGCAAAGAGACTCGCTTGATGACGTCGACGCAGCGAGGCGCCGACGGGAACATCGGAGATCGAGAAGGGCTGAGGATCTAGTGGAAGAAAAACCCCAGAGAAGGGATAGCCATTACGAAGGACGAAGACGGGAGCGACGAGACTCTGACAGATATCGGGACAACGGTCCTCTGGACAAATTGAAGGATAGGTTCATGGTAAACCTAAGGACTGTCCTTGCCGCTGCTGGATAACATGACTTTCTTCGTCCCATTCTTGGCATTTTCAATTCTAACTTCTATGTTATTTTATATTATTTATTCTTATATCACCACATTCCAGTTACCCCTTTTATAACCATTGCCTCTTTCTCCTTCTGTTCCTCTGTCCCTCTTTCCCTTCCGTTCCGGGGTGACATTTTTAAGTTTCTCCTAAAAAGTCGCCATGTGTGCTGCTGTGCTGCTGAGCACAGATCCATGAAACTTGAAATAATTGAGTTCTCGTGATTGAATATGAGCTGGCCGCAAATGTATCAATAGTATCAATAGCTTTGTTAATCATCTACATATTCTATTCTCACGGATCCTCTATCTACTTCATAAAAATTCTCATTCCCGCTCTGTCTCAAAACGACTACATACTTCACTACATTGCGAATGCACCCAGGATTAAATGTAGGTGGCGGTTAATAATAGAGATAATCATGACGGCTCGCTAAAGGAGTGATTTGTGCAGAGAACCCAATACAAATACCTGCCCAAAGGGGCTATTGAACCTTAGGTGTGGGCTCAAAAAATACATCAATAGAAAATATCATGATGGCCATTAAGGGGGAGGGGGAAGTAAGGGAGGTTCGATTGCCTCGCAATTGAAAGAAACAAGGGGGAATTGTGTAAAATAGCATGCTACCTCTTGACTATTAAGCTTCAAATAAATACATATAACACACGAAACGTTTATTTATTGATTCTTCGATGATTGCACCTAGACCTCGATACTAAACAACACCTTCATTGCTTAAAAAATGGCAATCATTCATTTCAAACAGGGAACGCCTCCCCATCACCCCTCATATCACTTCCAGCGCTATAAACCCGCTTCTGCTCGTCATAATGGCACCGGATGACCTGCCCCCGCCCAAACATCCCACGCTTGAACCCTTTCAACACTTCGACATTATGTCCCAGTTCCTTCAGCTCTTCTACACACCGACTCCTTGATCCCTTCTTCTAAATATACCACATGTCTCAATGGCTTACCCCGCTCCGGTATCCCCGCTCCAATGCAGATACGAGGAGCATCCAGCGCTGTCTGCGGGGTTTGGTCAAATGCAAGCATGTTCATCAGCACCTGCACATGGCCCTGCGGCTGCATGAAGCCGCCCATCACTCCATACACGGTGTGAAGGGAGTTATCTGATGTATTGGTAACAATGGCCGGGATTATGGTATGGTAGGGGCGCTTACGGGGTGCGAGGACGTTGGGATGGCCTGGTGTCAGCGAGAAGTTTGCCCCGCGGTTCTGCAGCGTGAAGCCACAGCCTTGTGGGATGATGCAGGTGCCGAAGCCGCCGTAGTTGCTGTTAATGAAGGACATGCCGTTGCCCTCCTGGTCTGTCACGGCGAAGTAGACCGTGTCGCAATGGTTGTGAGCAGGGCTGCCGTGGTCGATGACGTCACAAGCCTTGTCCGGATCGAAGAGCTCTGCGCGTTGGGCGAGGTAAGCGCGGGAAATTAATTTCTTGGACGGGACCTTTTCGACATCTGGATCTGTCACCCACCAGCTTGCGTCGGCGAAAGCGATCCGTAGGCTTTCGATGATGGCGTGGAGGTAGACGCTGGAGTTGTGTTGTTCGGCCGCGAAGTGGGGGATCTTGCCGGTTCTGGACAGTTCTTCCAAAATACCCAATGCCATTAAAGCAACGATACCTTGGCCATTGGGGGGGTGCTCCCAAATTTCTATTTCGCCTTTGCCATCACGCTTGATTCCGCCAATGTCGGTTGGGTTGAGCTTTAAAGAAATTGCATCTACATCTTGACTGCCTGTTTCCATGTGATATTTCAAATCGTCAAGTGAAAGACGGCCACCGAGATCTTGGACCACCTTGACAATTGCTTCCCCAATACGGCCTTGATAGAAGCCCTTTTTACCTTCCTTTGCCAGTGTTCGAAAGGTTTGGGCCAGAGTAGGGTTCTTGAATATTTCCCCCGCCTGTGGACATCTCACTCCATCCTTCGCACTGGGGCAGGGTTTCAGCATCTCTCTAAAGTTTGGTGATGCGTCACGGATGAGCTTTTCGCTTTCTGCCCACTATATTGTTGGTTGGCTCATTAGCAACGAACAAGTTGACCAAGGGGCGCGGGAGGCAATAAATCAATCGTAACAAGGGGATAATGCACATACAAATGACGCAGCGAGCTCAGACACAGGAAATCCCTCCTCTCCCAATTCGATGGCTGGTGTCAAAATCTGTTCCAATGACAACTTCCCGCTTCCGAAGCGTTCCACGGTGTCGACCCATCCGGCAGCAGCACCTGGCGTCGTCACAGCATGTACGCTGGTCATCGGGATTTTGCCCTCCTCGCCAGCAGCAAGACGTAACTCCTTGCGAACAAAATCTAGAGAAGTATTGGCCGCTGCGCGGCCTGAGCCATTAAGGGCATGCACTTTTTTGGTCTTTGCGTTATAGAACAAACAGAACATATCACCTCCAATACCGGTTGAAGATGGTTCTGTTATGTTGAGAGCCGCAGCTAATCATGTGCCAATAGTATACATCAGCCATCGACCTCACTAGCTTGATAGATATATAGTAAAGGGGGCATTCTGCCACCATAAATCGCTCACATACCAACCGCCACAGCGGCATCCTGCAATAATCATTTAGTTACGAAGTCCACAGAGCGCATTAGAGAGAAAGCAACGAGATTTGGAAAGCCCGAGGAGAGAAGAAAGACCATCAATGGCGCTTACCGCAGCATTCCCTCCATCTCTAAGGATCCTTTGCCCTGCAGCTGCGGCTAGGGGCTGTGTACAGGCAATGATGCCTTTCGTGCTGTGAACAACACTTCGTCTACTGGGGAATGCGCAGAACTTGGGCTCTGGGGCCGAGAAGACGTCACGGGCATTCAAAGGCATCTTTACGGGTATTTGTCAGTTGCTAAAGGACTGATGGTTGATGGTGATCTAGCACGCGCGATCAACGGGTGCAAAGGTGTGTTGGATAGGTACTAGTACTTGTAGTAAGGAAGGAGTCAACAGATTTACATATACGAATATATAATGAATACATATCCAGGCCGATGATTCACCGTATTGCCGGCCGAGAAATGAAGTTTGGCGATAAACTGGCTTTGCCGTGGGGCAGATGTCAAAATGGACCCCTTCTACAGCCGGAGATCACATGACGTTGAAGTGGGTGTCACTAAGGAATTATTTATTAGATAGTATCTGTGGATGAGGGCATGCACTCTCTCGTTATCCCGGTATCTTTGCAAAGCATTGCACTGCAGGATCTCATCTCGGATATGCAATACAGCTCAAAGGCATAAGAAAATATCAGCAGAGAGGCGCTCGTACCGTCAGAGTTTCCCCATTATAATTCGATTTCTACTCATGCTGCCAACATTCATTGTAAATTCTGCGATATCAGCTTGAAATTTAAGGAAGACACGAGAGAATTCTGTACCAGTATCTGTAATATACAAATTTTGAATCTTATACAACAAGTAAGAGGAGGGATTTGGTGGATATACTACCATATGTGCGGATGGCTAAATGCGGCAAAAATTGGGAGGTTTATATGTACCCAGCAAAATCAAAAACGCCTCGCTATGCATCCCTCGTGAATCGGGGGGAAACCAAAAGAAAGGAAAACGGGAAGAAAGAACAACGGGGAATCGAGCTATATACCCGGCAAAGCGTTGGCAAGATAGTATCGCCAAAAGAAATCTTCGCCTGCTAGCCGCTTGTTCGAGTCAAATAGATCGACAGTAATTCCGGACGGTCCGATTCTAATAACTAACTCCTTTCGAGGAGTTCTTTCGCTTCGTTGATCTTGGAGGCAAGGTAAGGGCTTCCTCCACGGTCCGGATGGTTGAGCAGCATGAGTTTGCGATGATTTGTGCGGATTTTGTCTTTGTTCAAGTTTCGTTCACTGTGACGATTATGGTCCTGTCAGTAAAAGAGATCCCTCCTAATATGTCTCTGACTGCAAATCCAAGGATTCGCATGCAGAGCAGAGGATATCCATATTGGCTGTTCGGTATAAATATCAACGTACGAAAGTTCCAAGATCAGCGACGCCTCGCGCCTATTCATGCGCGGTTCGAATCCTCCCTTGTAAAATGCTTTTCCCATGCTGTTTACACTTCCTCTAGATCGGCGATAAGCAACGAGACCAGCACGACCCTAGATTAACAAATGTCAGTTTCCATGGCTCCAGGTACATCATTCAAAACGAGGTTGGATGACAAACCAAAAAGGCTGCAGTAGCAACGCCGAACCCGATGGCGAGGACGGAGGCCATATTTATGGGTGGAAGAAATTGAGGGAAGGGTAGAGAGAGTGGAAATGGGCTGGGAATTGTACGACAGGACAGCGGTGGTAATTGTTGCGAGGACGTTTCGCCCGTTCTCAGGAATATTTTCCCTTGATAAAGTTTGGGAGAAGGAACAGAAAAGTCAAAACACTAGTCCGTATAGGGATTAGAGTCTCAGTATGTCACCTGATCTACATTCCACTTGAAAAAAGTTCATATGCGATCAAGAGAAAATAGCGGAAGAGCAACAGAAACGACGCTTAATTCCAAGGCTCGCTGTTGAAAGCACCTACGAATAAGCAACTATGAGGTATGCCTCTAGACTGAAATTTCCTGCATGAATACGATGAACTTACCACAAAAAACGTCAAATAACAGAATCGAGACCTGCCATTTCTGCTCCCAGCCATGCTATCCGAGCAAAGGCATAACATTTGTGCGCAATGACGCCCGTACATTCCGCTTCTGCCGCTCGAAGTGTCATAAGAACTTCAAGATGAAGCGACAGCCCCGCAAGCTGAAATGGACCAAGACCCACCGTGCTCTCCACGGTAAGGAGATGATTGTCGATTCCTCGTTGCTCCTTTCACAATTCGCCAAGAGACGAAACATCCCCGTCAAGTACGACCGTAACCTGGTCGCGGCCACGATCAAGGCCATGGAGAGGGTGGAGGAAATTAGAGAGAGGCGGGAACGTGTGTTTACCAAGAAAAGATTGGCTGGCAAATTGGCACGGGAGAAGAAGAGGGCGGAAGACCGAAGGGTTGTGGCCGAGGGGGAACATCTTATTCGCAAGGAGCTCAAGGAAATGGAGGAGGAGAACCTGCCGCTGGAGTCACTGGCAAACAAGAATCTGAGCCACGTTGTTGGCACGGAGAGACTACGTACAAAGAAGAAAACGAGACTTTTGGTGGATGGCGGCACGCAGGACGAGATGGAAATCGACTGAAGGAGGAGGGAGACGTTTTTCTTTCGACATCCTTGTTTTGGCTTCGAACATTTGTTTTGGCTTTTCATTCTACAGCGGATATATATGTCGGCGTTAGGATTCTTGTCTTCTCAGACTTTTTCTTTGTCCAGACTAAAAAGATGGGGCGTTTGCAATCTACATCTCTTTTCTCATCATCTCTGGCTCCCTTCGTTGTTTGATATCCTGTTACAGATTAGGGTATTCAATCTGAGATGCGATATTCTCGTATCTGGGAACTGCATTTTGACTCCCATTTTTTTGGACACTCTTCCGCTGTTTCTTGCGACATGGACTTTCGCTCTATAGGCCTTGAATCAGCAGGCTCGCTCGCTGGTCTTTGCGAGTGCGGCAATATCCGCTTCCAGTGAACGACCAAGCAGGTGAATCCGTTTGCGTTGCCTCCAAAAAGTGAATATCCCGTACAATCGGACCCTCTTCTATTGAGTGGAAGGCCGTCTCTACTGAGCACATCGCTTACTCTGAGGTATCTTGGTCGTGTTATTCATGACGCGCCAGTGAATGAGTTCCCCCTCACACAACACAACACAACACAACGCTCCTCTTCTTCTTTCTAAACACTTCTCCCTCTCTCTTTCTCCCTCTCTCTTTTCTCGCCTATCCAAAGACACAAAAACCAAGTTTCCACATAAAAAAAAAACCAGATCTCACTAGCAGCTTTACAGCGCAAACCGAAGTTTTAAGCTCAGTTTTATACCAAATAGAGTACGTAAGTTGGCGCGTTTCGTAAATTAGTGATGCAATTATTTCCTCCGAGTCATATTTGTACTGGTTAAATTGCTCACCACCATACCCAGCAGCAGAATGCTTCTGCGTTCGTTCCTGGGACTTGTTGCGTCCCTGACTCTGTGGGGCACGTTCTTCCCTGTGCCGTATACCGATATCCGCCCCCACGGGTCCTTCGTGGAAAGGGTGACTGGGGCAATTAGGGCCTCATTTTTTTTAACAGGCGCCTATGAATTCGTGCTAATCGCCAATTCGAAGGCCGCCGGGGCCTTCCAGCACGAGAGACCTGGGTCGTTCGCGGGCTTCTCAGGACTCCCCAGATTGCCTAGTAATGCATATCTCGATGGTATGTATTGCAACAGCAGTTCCTGGGTATTCATCCCCAGTGTTGGTACGGTAGCGTCCCCAAATACATGTTTCTCGCGAGATATGTATTCCGGCAGCTCCTCAGAAATCGGTTTGGCCGTGGAGCCTGTGGAGCCCTCTCGCGTTGCTATCGGCGGCGTCGAGATGGACGATGCGGCGCAATCAGCCAAATCATCCAGTTTTCTTCTGGAGTTAGCTGTTGGGTTCCTGGCAAATGATCTTCGTCTGTTGGCTGAGTCTGAAACTCATCAGTATTGCTTACACACGGGAGGATCAGGTCCTCTCCTTCGGTAGACTTTTCGTGCCTTCACCAGAGGTGGCTAAACACTTCGTTATGACATCCGGTCTGACCGTCACGACCAACATGAGCAATGACGTGGCCCTGATGCCAATATCAGATGCTTATGAGGTCGTTACCGCCATGATCGAGTCATCTATAGGTATGGGGCAATCAGGTGTAAACCCCATCTACTGCAGGGAGAACGGTCCTGTCTTCACCGACTCTGTTGCAGTGTGTGACGTTCCGTTGTCAAGTCCTGCATTGGTTACAGGCTCGCAACTGGTGGAATATTCGTTCCATCCAGGTGTCGGCGTCGTAATCAGTCGTTTGGCGCGACAGCAGATCGGAACGCCTGTTAACTGGTCGAATTGCATAGCCGCAGACTCTGATGCCATACCCGTGAAAAGAGTCAACAATGAACGCGGTTCGATTTCCCTGTTGCCTGCCTCAGTTGCTTCAGTCCGTATGCCCCAGTTGACGGCGCTTGTGCTCCGCCGGCTGGAGAACATCTCACACTTTGTGCTCCTGCGGCTCGTGTTCGTTATCGTCGCGAACGCAGGTGATGGGCAAACGGCTGCGGAAAACAGGAGCAGCACCGACAAGGAAGAAGGACCCTCGGAGCGTCCAAAGAGGAACAGGATGGGCCAGAGGCAACGACGTCGACTTCACCAGCGCGAGATGCGGAAACAACAGGCGGAACTGATAGATCGCCTGGAAATGGAGAGTGATGGTGGATCTAATCCACCACCACAAGCTCCTCCAGCTCCTATACCAGCCTCGCCTGTTGGGCATGCCGCGTCGTCGACAGTTGCGCCGATGGCGCCAATTCGGCCTGCCATGCCTGTGAATCAACAGGGCCAGGGGAATGGGTTCCGCCCACCTCATCACATCCACCTCCCCACTTTCGGCAATTCCCGGTAGTTGCCAGACAACCGCCCGTTCCAGAGCAAGGAGGTCAGATGCCGCCGTTTCCTTGGGCCGTACCATCAGTACGGCTATTCCCACTATCCTCATCAACGGTTCTAGCTTCAAACTAGAACATGTTCACATTCCGTTCGTTTGCTAGATCTGGGCTGAGGACAAAATCATCCGCTCCACCCCACTTGCACCATTTCTTTCCTCCGGCCTTTCGTCAGATTGGTTCGATGTAGGTGAATGATGTCAGGTGGGAGAGCGATTTTTTTGAACTCCTTGACCGATCTGGTGGCAATTCGGAAATGGACGCGGTGATGTGGATTGAGGGAATTGCGGTATTGCTGGGAGACTAAGACGGCTGGCGTTGGGTGTTGGATTCGAGAAGATGAAGCATAGAAGAAAAAACATACAAAGTTAGTATCCCAACTTTCAGAAGGATACGTACATAAAGTGCTCAACGTTCTTAACCATCTCATTCATGCATAGATTGCTCTTGTCTGGGAGAGGTCGAGGGCCGGATACCTCCACGACCCGTACCCCGCTACAATCGAAGCTCCTATACCCCGCTGCAATCGACGCTCCCGATTCTACGATTAAATGAATGAATGCCCCCATATAGTATCCCCCCCATGGTATGATAAATAAGCGTCTCTACCTCTCAAACAAGTCATGTGTCTGATCAAGCCTTCTCCAGATCAATATCTCCGGCCGTCAGAGAATAAAGCTGCTGCACACTCCCAGAACCAAATTCCTTAGTTTCTACGACTATCTTATTTAACCTGATTGTCGATTTCATGGCGTCGTGATAAATACACAACCCATATCCACGTTCCGACGGTCCAGCGAATGGCGCATTCAAAGTCCGAAACCAAATAGTTGCCAGCTTCTCCGGCCCAGCGATGCTTGATCAGCTACCATCATCAAATCACGCACACGTGCGCTCTCTCTCTCTCTCTCTCTCTCTCTCACACTCTCTCTATATTTGTGTATATTCTCCAGAAGTAAAATTCACCCTATTCCCGAATCGAATGAAGTTAACAACTGCGATCTCCCGTGATCGACAACAACAAAAGTTTAATAACTACGGGGGCCGGGGCGGCACAGCTATGCTCTCAGTTTTGATTTTACTCCAATTCCTCTGCGAATTTTCCATCCAGCAACGAAAATAGAAAAAAACACTCTTGAACGCGCCCGAAGCCATAATAAGTGTACGAACCGGGGCGCATGATATTGGCTATGAATGAGAGAGATTGAGAAACAGGAGAAACAGGAGAAGGAGGGGGGGGGAAGGAAATTGATGATTTGGAGATGGTTTTCTTCCGTTTATTTTTCCTTTTTGCTGTTTGTTGAGGATCGGGCGGGTAGCTCAACCCTTTTTTTGTCTTTGTCAATATACTCTCTCCGTACAGGATTGGAAACAAGTGATTGAGTGAGTGGGGGGGTGGAAGGAGGGTGAATTTGCACATTCATGAAGTATTAATTAATGTGTTTTTCTGCTAACTATTTGTTGGATTCTCGTTGTCTTCATATTTATTCTTTTGTCCTCGCTTCTTTTTTTTTTTTTTCTCTCTGTCTTTTCTTTCTTTCTTTCTTTCTTTCTTTCTTTCTTTCTTTCAGGGAGTCAGGCGGTAACTAGATGGTTTTGTTTAAGGAGGGAGAGGGATGGAGGTGAGATAGACAGACAGATAAGGGAGGCGAGGCACGGATAGGGGGATAGAGATGTGGATAGAACAGAGCGATGTTCATTAACTATCATTCATTATCGTCATTATAATTACTAATTTTTCATTTTCATTTTCTTTTTTTTTTCCCTTGAGAAAATTGAAAAGAAAGAAAAGCTCTATGCAACTTGCTACACAGGTTCTAGAAATATCTTATCTTATCTTACCCCCCCAACACGACTTGGCATTTTTCGTTCATTTCACGAATTGCCAGTTAGTCACACCCAAATAAAGAACTAAAAAAAAAAAAAAAAAAAAAAAAAAAAAAAAAAAAAAAAAAAAAAATCTATTATTTTTATTCCCGAGACGAAGAAACGATAAATGCTCTAGTTAAGTTAGTTAGATGAAACTGGTAATATTATCTAATCTGGTCTGAATAACTAGTTAGTTAACAATACTTAAATAGCTTCGTATAGTATAGTATAGTTATAGTATAGTATAGTAATGATATGTTATGTATATAACTGATAAAGAAAAAATAAAAGGGAAGGGGAGGAGGGGCAAACCAACAATAGACAAGTGACAAAAGAGGAGGTTAGGGATTTCGAACAGTCCATAAAAATAATAAGAGAGGGAAGAAGAAAGATATTGGAAAAGAGGGCGTGGGAGAAACGGCGGGGGGAAACGACTCGAAAAGCGAACATTGTCAAAAAAGGATAGGTGGGTAGGTAGGTTGGTTGGTTTGTCAGCTGGCAGCCGTAATATCGTCATATCAAAAAGAGAAGAGGGGGGCCAAAGAGAGAGTGTCAGAACAACGAGAGAAAGAGAGAGAGAGCGAGAGAGATAGAGCGAAACATTCCCATCCCCATTCCAATCCCTCGGTTTCATTTCATCCACCGCACCCTTCTCCTCTCCTCTCTCTCCCACGTGTCCATTCACTCCTCCATCCGCCCAAAAACGCCATCATCGTCATCATCCATTGGCACCACAGATCCTCCCCGATCATGCGCAAAATCGTCGCCATCCTCCTCCTCATCATGAGCTCAGCCCCCGCTGCCCCCACAATATCATCAGCATTTCTTTTATTAATATTATTATTAGTCTTGGCGGACTTCATCATCACCCTGCTACCATTGCTGCAGCTGATGGGTCCTCGGGTATCCGACAGCTGCGCATCATCCATCTTCAAGTCCCGTACATCCGAGACTCGATAGGACAGGGATGGATGCATGTTTAGCGGGTTGTAGATGGTAGGCGTGGAGGATGCCTCATGCCTCGCGACGATAGCTAGCAAGTCAAAGCTGTGCGTGTTGTTATGGCTGCTGTTGTTGATGCCATTGATGCCGTTGATGTCGATGTGGTCGTCGCTGTAGTAGATTCGGAGTGGAGCAGAAAGAGGAGAACGCGATGCTCAGACAGATTCTCACCGTGCATGGCATTTCCTTCGAGGCGGAACTTGAAAGACGAAAAGCTGCCCTTCGAGCCGGTGCCCGACACACCCATACACACTCCTTTGGCAGCACTATTGCTCATTCCCATCCACAACCCCATGCTCCGTCGCAAGCACACTCTCATTCGGTCTCGCAGGATCTCATGGGAGATGCGAACTACCCCATTGCTACGCCTCCTGCTACGGCATCCGCCGTGAGCCCTCAGACTGGTTCAGATTATACAGATACACAGGGTGGAAGAAACATTATTCCTTCATATTCGGGATCTCAAAGGTTCCAAAATGAGCAGCCCGGTGTTCCCGCAGAATCAAACGCTTGGGGAGGCGATAGTTTGGTGGTGGACGACATACCGGGTATTTTTGAAAAGGAGCCGCAGTTGGGTGTTGAGTTCATCCTCTCGTAAGGAAGAGAGCAACCCCAACCACGTAAATCCTGCGTTGCGTGGCTAAACGCGTCATTTTCAACTAACACTGATGCACAGCCTTGAAGAATCCTGCCGAACTCATATGGAATTTCTCTGCAGGCGAGCTGAGGACGACGAGGGCTCCGAGACAATATCCGGACACGCCTTAATGGCATCCTGCCCGCCCCCGACCCAAATCGTTTCCACAGAACCGGGTCAAATGTACCCCGTCCGGACCTACGATATACCGTATCCAAATCTAGCAAAACTTCTCAATTTAAGTCGCCAACTTGTCACAGATGGCCAGATCACGCCCATCATGGCGTTACAGTATTTAAAAAGCCACGACATGTATCTGTCATTGACACGAGAAGATGTGCAGAATATGATGGACGACCTTAATACTAAAATCCGATGCTACGGGTTTGGCGCAGTGATTGAAGATTTCGAGTTTATGGACTCGTTCAGCAGCGTGATAGCGAGGAAGCTGGAGCCTCTCATGGATGCTGACCCTGACGATTCCATGGGCCTCCCAGCTGCGCCCAGGAAACTT